GCAAGCTGCTCCTGAGACGGCTTTTATTTAGCACCTCAGCCGCTCCCAGAGAGTGTAAGAAAGGCCTCCTCTACGCAAAGGAGTTACAACCATATAATTAAAGGTGCTGTTTTAAAACCAATTAAGACAGTTGATGTGTAGACCTGTGGGAACACTCTCGCTATTAGAATAAAACCAAGGTTATTTGGGTTTTAACACAGATCAATAGAAAAAAATCTTTAAACAGAAATAAGCATTTCCACAGGTATTCAAACTGATTTAGAGAAATCAATTTGCAACAACAGGTTAAATTTAAGCTGGTGCAACTTCCTCATGTAGATAAGCCCTTACAGGTACATGCTGAATTGATGTATGCATATAAAGTTGAAATACATCTATAGGCCAAGGTCAGAGAAATGTTCTTGCTGCTGTTGATCCAATTAAGATGAAGGTTTTAATACCTGGATTTTTAAACGCGGAGTATTTTACAGAGTTCAGAAAAACAGCATTGTACTTTCTGGTGGGAGAAGAGCTGGAGCTGGCTAGAAGCAACCGTGTTTGAGACCTTCTTCCTCACAGCAGCTAGAACAGTTCACCAAATCATGTCCTCAGGAGCATCCACAGCACAGGAGTGGATAAATTGGATGCTTAACATCACCAGTTTGAAAGTTTGGGCAGAAAAGTTTAGGCGAGGCTTGCTGTGCCCATCGGCTGCTCTTGCTCCCCAAGTGCTGCAGTGTCCCTCTCCTGGCGGAGCGGCTGGATGGGCCCTGTGTCTGCTCAGCCTCTGCTGACCCTGGTAGAGCTTTAAGTCCCCTCCACAGCAGGTGCAGCTGAAAAACCAGGTTTTGCCATGGAGGACAGAAGCACAGGCACCGATTTGCATCTACCGGGTTTGATGAGGAGGTGGTTGTCTCCAACAGCGGGGCAGCTGGGGCCAGCAGTGCCTGCAGAGGCACCGCAAAACTCACCACCACGTGTTTGGTAGCAGTGGAGGACTTGACAGGTGGCTGGGGAGGAACTGGGAAAAGTGATTTTGGTTTTTTCCTTGGTGATATTTAGTTTTTGAAATATTTGAAGTGTTTGGGAAGAAGACCCGCAGTGACGTCAGCAAACCAATGTTTCTGAATCAATTTCAGAAAACCAGAATACAGGACATGAGAGGGGATGTGGAATCCAGCTTCTCTACCAATGAACTCAAGGGCAAACCCTCTTCTTTTACCTTTGGGGGTAAAATTCCTCACAAACAATCCCACCGCAGTGATTTCCATCATGCGGATGATCCAGTTAGAACTTGACTGCCCTAGTCTCTAAGACCCAGTGATGTCTATCTGGTATTAACTGGTTTGTTTCCAACCATAGCAAATGTTTTCCTGAAACAAAGCAGTACGCATTGAGACACTGGAGGCTTGTGCCACTGGTGGCTGCTGCTTGAATTCAGAAAGAAGACAAGGCTAATGTCAACAGCTCTTCAGACTGATGGATAGTGTTTTTCTTTTTCTATTTGTACTCAGACATTTAAAGGTAAGCTACCCTTTTATGAAACACACTTTTGTAGGTGCCCAAGTAATTTATCCAAATGTCCCCAGTGCAGATAAGCAAGTCAGGTAAAAGTATGAAACCAGTAAGGGTACTGGAATAAACATTTGAGACAGGAACCTGTGGAAGATAAAATGCCACTGCCTGTACACTTTGCTTACTGATGGGTTAATAACTTGGTGCTTAGAAGTTCTTCACTGAGAACAATGGGCAACAGCTGCTAATGGGGTCCGACACTAGCCCCTTGGGATGAAGAGGAAGGTTAATTGAATTCTAGTGAGGCTCCCTTTGTGTTACAGAGCAACTGAACAAGCCAGGGCTGCCAACTTCCCGGCATCAGCCTGTGCATTGTGGCAAGTTCATCCGCAGTGTGACTAAACTGCCTTCAACAGAAGGAATGAATTTAGCCTCCTAAAACTAAATTCAAGGAGACTGAGATATATCCCATTGGTAATTTTGACTGACAACTCAGGCCAGTGTTTGTTTTTACTTGTGGAAATGTTGCAGGAGAAAGGAGTGCATGTTCTTGGATGGGAGGTTTAGCATACATCTTGCTTGCCGGGGCTCGAGATGTACTGTTACAACAGTGCGAACTCTTCTGCTTCAGTTATTCATGGACATCCTTATCTGTGCAATAACAAGAGCTGTGGACATGGTGTGAATAAAAGAAGAGAACAAAAAAGATTCTTCTCATAAAGTCATTCACTTGCTTTTGGCATCTAAGTCTTCTTTGGCTTCTCAGAAGTTGTGATACTGGTCTTCAAATGCAGACAATACGGAATTTAATGTTATTTTGAAGATGTTTAAGCCTGATTGGTCCTCCTTAGTTAAAACGATGGTATTTTCACCTTGCCAAATAAAAGTGTACTTTATGCTTTTAGCTCTTCATTCAGTTGGATATCTCCAGTAGCAAATGGTTTCACGTTATTAATTTCTTCATTACAAAAGTGATTGTGTGAAATCTGACCTGACTTTGGAACGATATTGAGCTACAACTTTGCCGTGTGTTCTCAGACTTCCTACAAGCAGGTTTTTATTCGAGCGCTGGCCACATTGACTACACTTTTTGCCCACCCAAGCCATGAAGACTTTTACAACTCGCTTCCTATGGAACACGGCTCTCTTAGTGGATGAAAAGGAGTCTAAACACTTTCTTCTTTTCATTCATATAGGACAACTCTGTATTCAATTCCAGGAGACAAGAGCACTGTAGGTAGTAACATTCCCCTGGCAATTTTTTGTTTACCTTTGTCTAGGGTCTGTTCTTGTTTGAACTATTCAACTATGGGCTGTCTGGACTGACTCTGATTTCCTGATGCACTATTTCCTCTTTGTGTCTCTCCAGTGTTTGCGCAGGCTCTCAGAACTTCAGCTATTCTTCAGCTCTCCTCTCTGCTTCTTCACCTTCATGTGCAAATGTGCATTGGTTGCTCTGCTGCAGAGTAGAAGGTTATCACCTTCTTTAGTGATGTTGGGGGTGCCATACTAAGGAGGTTTTCACCTTAATCTAGTCACCTGGGTGCTCTAGTATATATTATTTTCATGCCTTGGTAACTCCATTTCACTTCCTCCATCTGCAAAAGTAAAATGGGGGAATAAACAGGTGAGCATTGCTTTCTCAGAGCCAGCTTGCCAGTTAAAGCAGATGGTCCAGGGATCTCCAGTGTTTTGGAAGATACTGGAAGGCAGTTTATGAAACCATTACAGTGTTTCCACCGCAGATTTCCTCCCTGCCAAACACACACATGCGCATGCATATATTCACATCCAGGCTCTAAAGCAAATAAAGAAAGTAAGTAAGTGGGTTAAATAAAAATAAATAATGAACAGTTCCATTTAGTCCCGTTTTTGGAAAGAGACCCCTCATGGCAGTACTGATGAGGTCGGTTGCTGGACTTCTCACCAAAAACCCCAAAGTCCCTCCAATTAGAAGAGTTTGAAAGCATCTCTTTTTAAATAATCCTGTACAAACAACACACCTAGCCACTATGCAGCATTATCACAGATGAGCCAGACATAGTGAAGGTAGTTAGAATGAAAACCAGAGGGAGGAATATTGCTTAAAGCAACTCACTTTTATTGACAGAGTACTGTAAGGCAAGGAAAAAATGTTTGCCAGATTTTTTAAAAAGAAGATTTGCAGCAAGAATGATTCAGAAAGATCTGCAGTTCAATATATTATTGAACTTTCAAAGATACTATCTTTTATAAATCCAGTATTTATCTTTTTGTCATATATACAAAAGCTCAACTTAAGCACAAAACAGAACACAAAATAATGGATTTGTAGATGAAGTTTTGTTGACGGTTCATAATCTAATAAACAAGAGAATGCACGCTTTCTGTTACTATAGAGTTACAGCTGACTAGATTTAAACCTAAGTATACTCCAAAACAGAGAAAGAAACCACAAAATACAGATGTGTTCAATAAGACTATTTTAGAAAAAAATCGAAACCATGTTCAACCATACACAGGGAACAAAACATTGATAAATGCCAAGAAAACTGTATTTTATGGCCAAAACTGATTTTGCATTTATGGTGAAGGCATCTGTGAAAACAATGCCCTATTCTGACCACTCTACAATAATCTTTTGGCCAGAAAACATTGCGAAACACTGGCTTTTGTCTGCTTTTTAAATGATATATTTTAAAGTGGTGATGTGCATTAACTGTGAGCCTCTTACAAGATCTCACATCAGGCCATGTTAGAGCAACCTATCATTTCCATAGGAAACAATGGTAACGGAAAGGTCCCAGCTATGCTAAAAAACCCAGGCGGGGGCCGAGCAACAAAATCTGCAACCTCTTAGTTCTTTCTTGAGGGAAGGGCACATTTTTACCTCACATTTTTAGACAACCTTAAATTCAGAAACCAACAAACTCTGCTGCGTTTTGTGGCTTTTCTTCTCCACCACCATCCGTATAGCGTTGGCCTTTCACTGGAAAAATGTTTATGAGAGGGATAGCTGCTTTTTCACCAGCGATAATATAGCACTACTGGTGCTTCATAAAAATAAAAAAGGCTAACACGTCAAAATATGATGCATTGGGATAAAAGGGACAAAGGTACTTACCCACAGTACTGTGTCACGCCTTAGCTTTGCAGGGCTGTAGCATGAATAGTAATGTAGGTAAGTAAGTAAAATTCACTTCTACCTATACAGGCAGAGCTGAACTGTATTTTAAAAGCCATACAATACTAGTCTGTAATTAGAACCCCCACCATGCTGATTTTTATCACACAGACAAGAAGAAAGTTATCTTACGACTACAGAAGGAAATGGGACCCAGTTAACAGGAGAATGACAACACCATACATATATGTAACCAGTATATTCTGAAAATGAAGCATAAACTATGTTTTGCACATGGAAGTCTTTTGCTAGATGCTTAAATGCACAGTTTTCATGTCTTTTTTTTTTCTCCCCCCCCCCTTTCTCTATGAAAATCAAGCTCTTTGCATAATTAACCAAAACCCAAAGATATTTACATTTTAAAAGCCAATCCTTCACCTTCTGATTTTAAAACGAGTTATCCTGTGTCGTGCATATTTTAAAAAAAGGTCCAGAAAAAGCTTAGATTTGTATTTCAGAATCTGTACTTTGTAAAAATATTTCCCTTGAACATGAAGTCAGTGCTGACCTCTTCAGGTCATTTGTGAATAATAAAATCTTTCGAAAGAAATGTTACTAAATAAGAACTGAGGGAAAACACAAAAAGAAGCAATACATTACCCCTGTATTGTAAAGTGTTGCCACTTTAAAGTACGATATAGGTTGAAGGAAAACACAGAGGTGTGTATATCAAAATACATTTTCATTATATAGCTACAGAACATATGAAATCTTCCAACGCTCTGTCTGCTAAAGGCAATATAGTCTCTCTGGCTTTGTTAGCACTGCTATTGAGTACAGGTTTCTTGAAGAACAGTTAGTACCTATAGAGGTGAATTCTAACATATAAGTGTGTGCTATGCTTCATATGGCAGAAGGATAAGCATTTGAAAACATTTATGACATTGATTTTAAAGAAATCGTACATTACAGAGCGTCTTCAATTCTAAACACAGAAAATTAGATTGTACTTGTAGTGGTTGTTGTTGCACTATGACTTAAATTTTCTCATATATCAAGAAGGTCCTCGCCACTCTCATCACTCTCCACAGTTAATTGTCTTGTCCACCATTTCTTGACTTCTGATCCACAAGAAGCGGCATCAGACATGGGATTCATTTTGCATACAACAGATTTCATAGTTGAACGTCCACCGAAGCGGAGGTTGACTGAAGACACTGAATGGCTTATTGGTTTGGGGGCTATGGAATTAAACAGAAAGTTCTTTATTAGAGTAGATCTGATTCTTGAACATTTTTGCTTAGAATTCAGATATACAGGACTAGCTGGACTGGGGTAGCTTTAAATTGATTTAGTGCAGACAGAGTAGGGCTCTGTTCTAATGTTGGTTTTGTGGTTTTTTTCAGCTCCAGTTGTTCATCCCACTCCCACTAATCTGCTGGTAGAGCAGTTTAACTGAGCAGTGCCTCATTTCCTTCTGCTGGGATAGCTGATGCAATAGGTCTCTTCTTACGGGGCTAATTGCAACCTGAATGGTTTAGGCAGTACTTACATGAGCTGACCTGCTGGCAAAATGGTGAAAGTGGTAGGTGCCAGAATAAAAGAGGGAAAAATGCATGTAGAGTTGGCATCTACACCTAGAAAGTGATGTTTAACTATGGCCTAGGGGTGGAAGCCAGTACAAGGTGCTGGTAAGTCTTTAGGAAAGCACTAAAACACATGTGTAAGTATATGAAAACCACAATTGATCTTAAAGGTGCTAGTCATTATCTTAAATTCATGTCTTTGTTGGATTTGGGGCAGAGTACTTATCATCTGTTGGGCTACACTGTGCATGGAGGTGATCGTCCTTTTCTGAGACTGTCCACTGAGGAACATTCAAGACTGACATAGCCAAAATCAGTGCTAAGAAAGGAAAGCCTGAACTCATTCTCACTTGAAAAACCTATCCGGTTTGCTACAATGGTACGATTCCTCCTTAGCACGCTCCCTCTTTGACTCTTTCTCTCTGTTCCAACAAAGTGCTGATCTTTGCTGCTCAGTGACATTTAAGTGGAAAACATGGATTGAAAGCTCTCTGTTAAGCTGTTCTGTTTCTTGGAAGAGTACTCTAGTCACAAAAGTAGTGTTAACGGTACTCATAGCATGACCATCTCTTCTACTTCCACCTAGATATGATTAGGGTCTGAATAGTGGCAGCCTTTGAAGGCAGCGCTCTGACTCGGAATAGGACTGATGACAGCTGAAAGCAGGTTGATGTGCAGACACCTAACCTGCTGGTCACAAGTGTGGCAGGCAGCAGAGGTCAATACGCCCTTTAAGAGAGAATATTTCAGGTGGTGGAGAGTGCTCTTGAGATAAAGACTTCATAAGGCCTCAGATTGTACCTACGCTCCTCTCCCACCCTCCTATAAGGCATATTCTAGCCTTCCTTTTCTAGTGGACTGTAGTTACTAGAATAGCTTGAGTATGTTTCTGGTTTGTGAGAAAATAAATGGGAAACTGACTGTATACCTGGCCAATTCCTGGCAGAAATGAAGATATAAAAATGTATTATTATGGTGTAAAGTATAAATCATACACCTGGTATGTTTAGGCAAGACAAGGCACTCAGCAGTTATTACTGTTGTTAGGAAAAACTTCATTCATTTTCACTGTGCTTTATATGATAAGAGAACTCTAAACACACAAGATACTACCTAAACACATGGGACAGTATAGCCCCCAATCCAAAGATCCTAAATGAATATATGAAATAGTAAAAAACCCCAACAACCTGCACATGGCAATGCTTGAGCCCATCTTCAAAACTTTCAGAATTGGGAGGAAGGGGAGAGATTGCTGTATTTCAGCATGTATGAGGGTAGAAAACACCTGATGTTGGTGCAAGCAGCAGGCAGGAGGTAGAACTGTGAATCATGAAGCCTCTCACGGCTTTGTTACTGATAGCAGTGGTTTGGCACTTGGGGACTTTACAGATACACATTTTTCACTTACCTGATGGCAATCGCCATTGTCCAAATTTCCTCTGAGGTTTCCCAGCATCTGCAGAGTCTTGTCGATAGCCACCTCTGTCAGAAAGTGTTGGGCTAAGGAGCTGCTGCTGGCTACTTGTCTGAACAGAGAAAAAAGAATCTCAGTCATGGTTCCCCATTGCATGGGGATAATCCTAAGAAGGGTTATCTTTCTACTCTATTTCCAAGCTTTATACATGTATACGAACAAAATATATTGCCATTTGTTAAGGCAGCATGGTTTCTATTCTCTACTGCCCCTGAAAACTACTACTAATGGGAAAAAAAAAAAAAAAAAGACCATTTGGGGTTAATTCCATTACATGGTTCCACTGAAAGGTACAAAATTGTTCTCAGTCTTCTACTGTGGAGTCCTTGTGTTGTACCTTCTTCATTCCCTACCCTGGAAGAGCGCAGCACTCCTCCTCACAGGACCCAGCATGTGCGGTGTTACCACTCTCAGTGTAAAAACTACTTCAGAATGCTTGAACAGGAGAACTTCAAGTCCCTGAGCCTGTACACAGCTCATGCTGGAGCTGCAAGTTGGTGCTGCCAGAGTCGTACAGCTAAGTTTGCCCTTTAGGGTGCTAGCAAGACAGCTAACTAAGCTGGGGAATTACTGCCTTAAACCATCTTCCCTTTACATCTGAAGGCGAAGACTGAAGCAAAACAAGACATTGCTTTCAACTTTTCCAGTTAAAATGAAGTTTTTTAAAAAAAAAAAAAAGAAACATGGAAGTTTTCTGAATTTGTTCTGAGTAGCTGATAGTCTTCTGGTTAACGTACCTCTGGCTGTGCACTGTTATCCTGATTAATAGCATTCATATCTTCACTTGGCTGTGTTGTCTCGATGCTGGGAGGATTCAGAAATCGGCTCAGCTCCTGCTGTTGACTCTCTCGCAGACTATGGATAATGCTGCACGACTGCTGTTGTTTCTATCAAGGTGCAATATGCGACAACAAAAATGTTCTCACTGGTGTGTCACAGCGTCTGATTTTTTTCAAAGCCTTCTAAATATTTAACCAAACAGTGAGCACCAGATGTGGATACCAAGTGCATGAATAAAGCTGCATGTATCAGATGGTCGCTATTTAAATAAAGTGACTTCCAGCATATCTAACTTTTATGTAGGAAACAGAGGATGAAACTTATAAACTATAGTAAGTAGAAGGCAAGTTGCTCAAATGTTGGCTTAAACCTAGAGTTTAAAAACGTGTAAATTTTTTAATTTATGAGTTAAAAGTTCTTGCAAAGAAAAAGAAACATGGAAATTGGTAGAGATTCACTAAGAATTACATGAAGGCAATGAAAAAATTCTGATTTCTTTCATGGACTTTAGAACAGTCTGTCAATAAGACTGAATAAAACAGTAGTGGAAACCTTGGGACTCAGTATAGATTTACAGTATAAATAGAAAAACAAACCCACTACCATTATGATCTTACAATCTAATTTGCTTTTAAATTAAAATAAACAGCCCTTAGGAAGGGTTTCACTTTCCTGGGTAGTTTTCACATGCTCCCTCTAGAGACACTTAGAGACTAACAAGAGAATTTGAAAATATATATTAACTTCCATAATTACATTCAGTTTATAAAAGGTTCATATGATGTGAAATGATCTGAACCATATTATTAGAGTGAAATGAATAGCATATTTACTTTAACATAGTGTAATTCAATATCATAACGAAATGAACAACAGAGTTGAACAAAGCCAGAATTGAGAGCTGAGATTAAATTTACTGCCACTATTACAGAGATGAGATCAAAATGAAACTATCTATCTGAATATGCCTTGAACATTGATGCTTCAGCTGGAATGTACATTATATTCAAATTGTCCAGTGATGTTCTTTTATAAATTTGCAAACAGAAAAAGTCAGATCCCATGATCACAGGTCTCTGTGGAAAACCTCCACACACAAGAAGTAAGTTTTTATAAAAATAAAAAATATATGCATCAAAAGGACCCAGCCTTACAGTAACTGCAAAATCAGTCATCAAGGCAACCAGGCTGTGGTTTTACATAAAGGAAGAGTTGGTTTTGGAAGAAAAGAGGAGAGTATCTGCAAAACGCAATTCAAATTTCCTGAAAATTTTTAATATAAATTTCATCCAAGACAAACTTCAATCAGCATATCTTGTGGCTATCCTGAGCAAAGGTAAAAATGTTTCTGACAATCAGAAGCACTGCGTAAACAGAACACAGAAGCACTGGCTAGGTCTATACTAGTAAATTAAACAGACTGGGATTTCCTGCAGTGCTGAAGGCAAGGGACAGGCCAGGATTTACATGATCTGGCTAATCTCTCCTCTACCACACATGACTGCTTCAACCACTGCCTACTGGGAGCAGCCTCCACCCTGACCCGTGCCTGGAGGGCAGTGATGCTCCTACGGCAGTGGTCTGGGAGAGGATGACTATGCGCAGGCCAAAACTGCGCTGAGGCCCAGGCTAAGGAGTATGGGTTACCCCAACCCAGTCCTGAGCCAAAGCCTTGGTGCCGCTTAATTTACTAGCAGGGACACAGCTACTGTGTGCCACGGTTCACATCCCCGATTCACGTATACACATTATGCACACACAGAGTTACTGTAATGGCTCGTTCAAATCATGTATCTTCATATGGATTCCATATCTGCTGGTGACCAACCATGGTATCTTCTGCCAGCAGAAGCAAGGAAATCATACAATTACGTTCTGTGAGGAAGGATTAGGCCTATGAGGTTTCATCAAATTACATTGTTTTTTCCTATTCTTTTGACTTTGGTCTCTGCACACGCATCTTCCTGCTGTATTGAAAAGACAGATAAATTTTTGGCAGGAAGACAGTTTTTGCCTTCAAAAGCTGCTTATTTTTGTAGCACTTTCAATTGAGCTGTAACATACTTTTTTGCTGAGTTAGCAACTGCTGCATACTTCTTCACATAAATATTATTGTGACTCCAGAGTAAATGAAGCATAGTGACAGCAAATTCCAGCATTTCTGCAATCATTTAGACCCTGGTTTAGCTTGACTTACTGCTCTGATTCGCTTTAAGCACTTCTTCAGCCACATGCGTATGGTCTGTTTGGCCACCTCCTCCTCTATGGTATATTCCAGTTGCTCCCTAGCAAGCAGCTCTTCTAGTTGAAGACTTTTTCTGATATCAACAGACCTATATGAAAGCATGCTGGAAGAAACACAGTTTTGTTTTGGTTTTTTTTTTTTTAAATGCTGGTGATCTTACACTTTAATTTAGAATGTCAAAGCTCACACTTAACACCTTAGTGCAAAAATATGTAAAAAAACCCAGCAAAATGTGTGCAATAAATTTGCATTTAAAGCTAAAAAATGTTGAGATGATTCCAGAAGAGACTTGTGGTGCTCAAAACAAATGAAGACCTTATCTAGCTATCCAATACAGGTGAGCTACTGAACTGTAAGCAGCTAGGGCATTTGTGGGGAGTTGTTTTGGTTTTTTTTTTTTCCCTAAGTGTTTATGCTTGGATAATGTTCCCATTTCTATTTAATTTCTCATCAGATTCGCTGTCTTGTTGCTATAGGAATGGGGACATTGCATTGCTTGGGATACAAGAACAACATGTGACTGCTGTTTATGACAAACTCTCACCAATGAAAATGTTAAAATTACTTAGACCTGATTCCCCTAGGGTCTGTGTTTTCCATCATTAATATTTTTTCAGGAAAAAAAGGGAAATCTAATTTTTGTATTACATTTAAAATGGCAGTGCCTCTGTGGCTACCAGTCTTGCCTTTTCCCAAGCCTAATGAATACCTGTTAGCCTGGAGAGAAATATAGGCCATTATACCCGTTCTACAAATTTAGAGAAAATATGAGAGTACCTGAGCACGTCATGGAAAGTGACATCACCACCATTATGGAGCCGTTCCATTTCATAGCACATGTGCTTGAACAGCAGCTTGTCTTTGTCGAGATCCACCTCCAGCCTGCCCCGCAGAAGCCTCAGCAGAAATTTCACTCGGAAGGTAGGGATTACTCCCTGGGTAAAATTGCATAATAGATGGTAAATTATTACTGTGACCTAACAACCGACTCAGACATTCGACTTGATCAGTGAGAGAAACACTATTTCTCCAAAGATTCCGTGTCAAATCCTGGCCTATTTAAGTCACTGTGAATACATTACTGAAGAATATACATATGCAGCCAGCTCTTCAGCACATTCACGGAAGTCTTTGTTGTTATTTGACAATGAGAATCCGTGCCGATAATTTTGGCAGATATGTTCAAAATTGCTTGGGGATTTAGTTTCCCCATTTGCATTACTCTGTAATGAGAATTATATGCCCAAAGAGCTGCCTTTGAAAAACTGAAATTAAACTACAATTTAAACATTCACAGCCAGGCCTACACCTGGCTGTAAACCTGTCCCCCCTTCTCTGTGCATCTTTGGACAGGAGAATGTTGGGAGTTTACTGGCTTGTCAAAGGTCTTCTGCTCTAAGAGCCAACCTAGCACATGTTGCATTTTTTGTGAAAATAATTTTGATCTGCTGTTAAAAAATTAGGACTGAAAATATTTCCCTCTGAAACTTTGGTATCCATACTCTTTAAACATTCTGTTCTGCTAAATGAGCCTGACTGGAACTGTTTTTGCTGTAATGTGTTGTTCCACATCAGAGAGAGATACTGTCAGTGCTGGGCACGATGGATGCAGAACTCTCCACCTCCTTCAGTACAGACTGTGGCTTCCATCTCCAGCACAGCCATGTGCCAACTACAAGCAACCAAATTCTTTCACCATAATGTTGTTCATATTCAAATCTTGGTGATGTCATGCATCATTCAGATGATGACTTAACTTGTGTAGGCATCTGAACAGCTCTGTCTCCCAGATGCTCTTCTCATCACAGAATGGTTGAGATTGGAGTGGACCTCTGGAGGTCACCTCGTCCGACCCTGTCTGCTTAAACAGGGCCTCCTAAAGCCAGTTACCCAGGACCATGTCCAGGCAGCTTTTGAATATCTCCAAGGATGGAGACTCCACAACCTCTTAGGGCAACCTCTGCCAAAGCTCAGTCACCCTCATATTAAGAAAGGGTTTCCTGATGTTTAGAGGGAACATTGTGTGTTTCAGGTTGTGCCCATTGCCTCTGGTCCTGTCACTGGGCACCACTGAGCAGAGCCTGGCTTCATCCTCTTTGCACCCTTCCTTCAGGTATTCATGTACATTGATGAGATCCCCCTGAGCCTTCTCTTCTCCAGGCTGAACAGTCCCAGCTCTCTCAGCTGTTCCTCATAGGAGACATGCTCCAGTCCCTTCATCAACTTTGTGTGCCTCTAGTGGACTCTCTCCAGTATGTCTATGTCTCTGTTGTATAGAGGAGCCCAGAACGGGACCCAGGACTCCATGTGTGGCCTCACCAGTGCTGAGTAGAGGGGAAGGATCCTCTCCCTTGGCCTGCTGGCAATACTTTGCCTAATGCAGCCCAGGATACCATTAGCCCTCTTCACCACAAGAACACATTGCTGTCTCATGTTCAACTTGGTGTCCACCAGGACCCCTAGGTCCTTTCCTGCCAAGCTGCTTTCTAGCCAGTCAGCGCCCCAGCATGTACTGGTGCCCATTTCCCCAGGTGCAGGACTTTGCACTTCCCCTCACTAAACTGCATGAGGTTCTTGTCATCCCATTTCTCCAGCCTGTTAAGGTCCTTCTGGATGGCAGCATGAGCCTCTGTTGTATCAGCCACTCCTCCCAGTTTGGTGGCATCTGCAAACTTGTTGAGGGTGCACCCTGCCCCATCATCCAGATCATTAAAGATGTTGAACAGGACTGGACCCAATATTGATCCGTGGGGTACACCACTAATTAGTGGCCTCCAACTAGACTCTGTGCTGTCGATCATCACCCTCTGTGCCCAGCCATTCGGCCAGTGTTCAGTCCACCTCATTGTCTTCTCATCCAGCCCATACTTCATCAACTGCTCTATGAGGATCTTACAGGACACAGTGCGGAAATCTCAGCAAAGCTCTTCGGAAGATCAGGCACAGAAATGGATGTGAGTTTGTAGACTTCCAAGGGAACAACTCTCAGGGAGCTGGGAGGAAAGATACTATTGTATTGATCTTATGAATATCTACATTTGTTTTTAAATCTACTATTATAAGTACTGCGCAGTAGTAAAGAATACAGGCTAGTATTTGAAGGGCCGTGAACAATGTTAGATCATGCTCACTGAACTTTCACAACCTGAACAGTAACTGCTCAGTAAGTTTTGTCACCACACTTTGTTTTCCCCATATGTTTTTTAAAGGAAAAATGTAAATTTACTGGATTTCTGTGCTTATTATGAAGTTTCTTACCTCTCTTTTGTCATCAACCATGTTCCATATAATTTGAAAATGCCTAAGATCATTATAACTTAAAAGTTGGTCTTCTTCGGTTGAATAAAACAATGAGAAATTCTCCACAATGATAGCTGAAAACCACAAAACCAAAGTACATTATAAAGAAAGCCTGTAGTTATGTTCTAACTGGTTAATCTATATAAGCAACCAAGGATTTCATGAGAATATGCATTCTGTTCTGCCAACTTCACACTAATAAATGTGTTTAGCTATATGTTCAGACAAGGACTTTGAATAGGTAATATACTGTCATACTACATCAACATTTACTGCGCTCACTTTTTAAAAGCTGCATCTTAAATGCTGGTGAGATGCCTAAACTAACATCTAAAATCAATGAGGAGAATTCCAACAATGTTGGAAAAAATGTTAACCAGAGGAAGGAAAAACTCAGAAAATAATATTCCTTAGGGTAACTATACAAATACAACACATCTCTTCTTTGTTCAAAAAAACTTTCATTCCCAAACTTCCTGAGTTTTAGCACACACCATGCCAGAGAAGTATCAAAGCCATCATCTGCATGTACGGTAACTGAAGGTACAAGGTAACCTCATACCTGAATAGCACAACAGACTCAACTCTAATGTACTACTGCCAAGATGGACCTTGTTATTATTAATGTATATTTTCACTTACCAACAAGCAAATTTAGCATGATGTATGCAATGATGACATAAAATGAACAGAAATACATAAGAGCACCAGCATAATTTCCACAGTCTGTTTTCCAGTAGGTGCTGTTATCTGGTGTGCAAAATGGAGGCTGAACCTTCAAAACAAAAGAAAACAAAGTCAATCAATCATAATGACAGATTCTTAATTTCTCTGCAATAAATTCAATATTTATGATTCTAATTTTTTTAAAGCTTCACAATTTGGGAATAATGCTGTGGGCATTATTATGGGCAGGTTTCTGTTGTTCCTTTAATGGTTAGAAATCAGAACACAGAGGAAGGTATGACAGAAGAGGCCTAGGCATGGATCTCACTACCACATACAGGACTGACGTGGTTTAGCCCCAGCCGCTCGCTCACCCCTCCCCCGGCGGGATGGGGAGGAGAACGGAAAAACATCGTGCTTTATGCCACTGTAAAGAAACAATTTGATGTTCTCAAATGTGGTGGTTTTCAAAATGCTTCCCTGCCCATTATTTTTAAAAAGGGAGTAATATGATTTTCATCTTAATGGAAGCCACAGACAGTATTTTACTTGGTGAAATAAAATGTTTCAAGGACAAATTTTGAGGTCATTAAGACCTCATGGTCTCATTCACAAGGAATGAGCCAAAGCACAGGCATTAAAGACAATGCTAATCTGAAAAGTCATCTTGCCACAGTGGAAAAGTGAGTTACCGCACTTCTGATTTTGAAAACATCTTTTTATTTTTGTTTTTAAATCATGTAATAGCCTAGCTCCATGAAATACTACATCATGAGTGTGTGACTGGAACTGCAATTTCTGTGTCATGGTCTGAGGTTTGGTGAACATTTTATCTCTTGAAGAGATAAAGGCAATCACAACATTCCTTGTACAAAGCTAAGATACTGGAAACACTCTGAGACACAAGGATGTCTCTTGTTTCTTGTCTACTTTATCTCTGACAGTATTGTGTTTACCATGCAGTCATGCATAATTTTGTTCCAGTCTTCTCCAGTAACTATTCTGAAGAGTACAGTAATAGCCTTGCCAGCTGATGAAAAATTTGCATGTCTGTTTTAAACAAAAAGAGAGAGAGAGATATCATTTCATGTCCCAGAACTAAAACATTGGCAAGAAAAAACACAAACCATTCCATCTTCTACTGTTCTACTATTTTAAACTGAAAATAGTTACAGCATTATTTGAATGAGCTCATTGAATTATTTATTCCATGACTTAAGATATAATAACTTAACTTTAGCTCAGACACAGGTCGGAGTATTTTGGCTCATTTTATCAAAGAGCAAAAGCAGAGTTGTGGACAAACCTGGTCTAGTGGACGGTGTCCCTGCCCATGGCAGGAGGGTTGGACCTAGATTGTCTTTAAGGTCCCTTCCAACCCAAACCATTCTATGATTCTATGACTTTATGAAATCCTATCTCCTGTCTCCATTTTCTTCTGGAAGCCTGATGATGCTATTGATTGGGAACAGTTAACAGCCAGTTCACAGAATTGTCCCCTCTCTGTATCAGCCTGCTATGAGGATCCTGTTCCTGGGTGATGCTGATAAGGTGTAATAGGTACACTATTTTTCAGCAGCTTGCAGCTAGCGCAGTGCTGCTTTGAAGCACATTCCAGTTGGCATAATGAAGAACAGCTCTCACTCTGGGCTGCATTGGGTGTCATTTGGTTCAATGCACAAAGACTGGAAAGATGGCTCAGTGCCTCCTATCAGAAATCCTGTTTAGAGCTCTTCAGTTAGACCTGGGGACTCATCTGGTTTTCACCAGGGACAGACTTCTCTCTAGCAGAATGTGATTTTTTCAGGTTGTTTAAAGAACGTCCCCATGAGGTAGCACATGCTGTACCTGTTAATGTTCTCTCCGTATTTCACCGTACCAAATAAAACCACTCCAGCAAAAGCATAACAAAGAAGCAGTAAGAACATTCCCACTATGATGAAGAAACTCTTGTACATGCTGACAACCACAGTCAGGAGTAGCATTTTTAGAGTCACCTGGAAGGACAGAGAAAAAGCAATCCATGATGCCATTCAGGAAAGCAGAGATAAAAGCGGAAAGAGAGTTATGGCACTTGCCATTTTGACAACAAATTCTTCACGTATATACGTTAATGGGTGAGCCCAGTGAAATGGTACATTATGAATCTGATTGGAATTGAACATTTTGTGTCTTCCTCTGAAATTTAGTGTGCATTTTACTTGCTAAAAAGATCAGCATATCCACCAAATTTACAAGGTCAAGATGTTGCTCCTCAAAGAGTATATATAGGATAATACAGTGTAGGATACAGCAATAATTGTAGGATCAGTATACTCCAGAAGTATCAAAATTAGCATTGCACGAACAGTGGTGCAGTACCCCACCTTGGGCTCATCTGAAAGTGATGCGAACTGAGGTGGAAACCACAGATACTGCAGCCTACCTACAGAAATGGGTTGATGTATAGAGAAGGGGTTATCCTTAAGATCAGCACTGCTTGATTGAACTAGTTAATTTCTCATGCAAGTTGGCCAAAGAGCTTAAGAAGAGAGTATAATTTTGGAAATTACATAGGCAATAGGCCTAAGTAATAGATATTACCTTCCCATGCATGCATATTGTACATTTTACTCTTGATAAAGTTATTACCCTAGATTGCTGTAACACCCTTAAACCATTTTGGATGCTATGGAAAATTCTCTTTAATGGGACTGAGGGTAAAATGCCAAACTAATAACTCATGCTGACTTTTAGCCACCACATAGCGTAACAACAGATAAATTAGTGGAACTGATGCAGCTCCTAACATGAAAGCACAAATGAGTAGGTGAAAACCTTGAAGAAACTTCAGAATCAATCAAAAAGCTTTGAAGGCAATCACTTGGCCTGGCTGCATAGGAGAAGCAAGGATTTTTCATTTGACTTCCAAGGATCTACAGGTTCTGTGTAGTTTGATTGAAGGAAAACTTTTTATCTTTACTGAACAAACCCTCTGACTTACTGTTCTTAACCCCAGCAACCCCATATAGCAGTCTTTTTATCACATTTACTTTAATATGTCAGACTTCACAGAAAATGTTTGGATAGTCTAAAAAGTTCTACAGCAAGAGAATGTAGAGTGTCACCACTTGTTAAACAAATGTGTTTGTTCTCTGCCTGTGCTTATTCTGCCAGCCTACTCTCAATTACATCGGAGCAAATCCAAATATAAAAGAAATGTAAATTCTAGAAGTTACTTGCTTTGTCACCATCTCAGTGTTTCCAGAAAAATATCTTGGCCCAATATTTTTTATTGAACATAAATCCTTTACTGTGATAAGACATACATTGTAGAGACACAACACACAGACCTGCACTCTGGAGGAAGAAACTTCTATAAGAACTACTATCATAACAACTATCATAACAAGATGAGTGCATCAGCCACCACTCCCCTAGTCTTGCAGAGAAATTAAATAAATAGCATGCACATCATACCACACTGAAATGGCAAGGACCGAAAGTAGCACAATGTATGTTCAGAGTTTTAGAGAGCATTTTTTAAAAACTGTGTGGTATTGCAGTTGCACTTTTTTCCTTTTTTTTTTTTTTCCAAAAAATGCAGCTTTTCCAGTAACCATAATACAGTGCTATTATACAATGTACCAAAACCCCTGACATTTTAAAGACAGTGTGTAAAATTGGAGGCTGCTGCTTGAAGTCTCCTTTTTTTTTGGCATATAAAATGGAGCCTTACAGAATGTACACTAGAGACGCATAGCAACTAGTCCTTTAATCTATAGATAAGCACTGCAATAGTTGTAGTTCCTAATTTATACTTACATGCTTCCCACAAATTGAGAAAAACCTGAAGACAATTACGCATGCCCCCATCATGTACGTGTATGCATTCTGGAACAGAAACACAGAAGACTTAATACATTGTCCCCCAGGGATCTCATGGAAAGATCAGGATAATTGATCTTTTAATAATGTAGGGCAGTCACCATATGAATTAAGAGAAATCATAAACCAGTAGCACCAATATTTCAACAACAGTGGAGCAGTAAGAAACTAACAGAAGATGTTCTACCACTTTAAAAACACTAACCCAACCTCCCCATACATCAAACCAAAACCCCTTCAATCCTCTATTAGCTGGGCTGCAATTATGTCCAGCAGCCCCAATCTACTTGTCTAGGCAGCTGCTGGCTCACAGAAACTCCTCAGGCTTTCCAAACTACTCAGCAGCAGTGAGTAAACTGTGGATGTCCGTGTAAAATGACTAGCCACACAAGATAGGTTTTCCTCCAAACAGAATCTGGGGCAGACAAGAGAGAAGTCTGCAGCCATTTTAGGGTGGTGACTTCCACAATTTGTGGTGATAAGCATCAACTATCCCTTCTCCTTCCCTCATAAGTAAGGGAACCAGGGGTGTAGCCAACTTCAAAAACCCAGGATGAGATGAAGGGAGAGATGATTTTTCTCCCCTCTCCTCCATGCCTTCTTGGATTAAATAGAGCCTCTTCATCAAAACCAGTGGTTCAGTGGGACAGATTGTACTGTTCAGCAATTTTGAACCTATGCCTTCTTCCAGTCCTCTGCTCCTATCTGGATTTTGTGCGTTACCTCTTTCTTTCTTGCTGCTCATGAGACTGCTGTTGGCAAGAGCTCTCAGTCTCTTCAGGTTCCTTCCTTTCCTCACTCACATCCCTTCCAAAGACTTCATTTTTTTTACCACATTTACAGGCTCAATCTCGTATCAGACAACTTTTGTAACTGCCCAAGACACGGGTTCCTTCTTCTTAGCATCAAGTTTCATTTGTCTAAGCCATATTTCAGCCTTATTAAACTCCCAAGGGTTTAAGCTTCATCATTGAAGTTGTTTTTTGTAAATCTTACCAGTAAAGCGAAATGAAGTATCACCCATATAACTCCAAGAGATGTCACCAAGAGATCATACCGATTTCTTCTGCTTTGCCAGAAGCCAGAAGGTGACATGGCAATAATCTTCATTGTGACCTATGGATAAAAAAAAATTCTCAGTTGTACCAAATAAATGGTTATGTCTTACTATAAGAACCTCTAAAATGTTTGATTGAATTCTTATGAATGTTTTCAAACAATCAAGGGCAGGTTTCATGTCAGCTAACTGTTCCCATGTGGACAAGTTAGGCGGCTAGACTAAATGGATCATATAAGCTTCCCTGAGAGGGAGGAAAGCTGGTACTTGTGGAAGACCACAAATGACTGAGATGAGGGGATGAACAGTATTCTGGAAGCGTCTCTCTCCATCAAGTATTGAGGGAGTGCAGCTGACCACCTCAGACTGCATGCTTAATGTATCAATTGCTGAGGTGAATGTGGGCTTAAGATTTCTAATAGTTAAGTTACGAAGTTAGAAAATTATTATATCAATAATACGTAGCTAAAAGAGATAGTAGTATCCTATTTATCTAGCTGTCCATAAGCAGGCTAAAATCACATAAGCACATTTGAACTCAAGAATATAATTGTATTCTGCAGATCCCATATTTCAAAGTAATTAAAAAGCATTCCTGTATTGCAAATATTTTTTGCTTTAAGGAATCAGCTGTACTCAGCACCATCTGTACTCAGCAGCATATGAGAAGAAAGCTAAGAACAGTAAAGGCAGTACATTTTACGTTTCTGGTTAAAAAGAGCAGCCAAAGTGCCTGACATTTCCAATACATATAATAGGAGTGCAGGTAGGAAGCTTAAGAATAGATACTGATAAAAAATAGTTACAACAGCTGGCAGATATCGAGGTAGGGTAATGCATGTAGAGGGAACACCGGAGAATTTCTCGTACACAATTTGTATTAAATCTCAAAGCAAGTCAAGTGTTAATACATAAGGGCCATAAAAGTCAGGCATTCATTACGTGATTTTTTCCACCCTGCCTTGCAACACTGCCATTCAGTATTCTTCTTCACATTTCTGAAACCTAAACTGTATATAAAGGGACACTAGTTTGAGGTAGAAGTCTGACTTTCCAGGTAGTTTTGGTCGTATTATGTTTTCTGAAGCCTGACTACAAAATGAAGAATACGGTCTCCAAACCTCTAATCATCACTTGAGGTACCTGAAAGTATCTTGCCTCACCTCCATCCAGTCAGTTGAGATGCCCTCGAATACTGGAGATAGATGCATGAGGCTGGCAGGGATGACACAAGACCTGCAAACATCCCTGCCCTTCTGTAGCAGCAGGTGGAGGTAAGGGGATGTCAGCTAAGGTACCCAAAAAAGCTTTTGACACCTTCACTTACTTAGGCAACTGAATCTCACCCTACATTTCCCTTGCTCACGGAGACAACACCTACCTCACATGTAGAATTTAAACACCAAAGTTCAGATTCTATAATCTTGAACTGAACACCACACCATGCAAATAAAAAAAACCCTCCTCACTTTATTCTGTGATCATCAGTGTGGCAACAAAAGTGAGATCTTCGAATTCTTCCTGTTCTTCTATACAACCTACACTGAAGTGAGCAGTGGAGGTTTAAGACTGAATCAGGGAGTCCTTAGACTGGACACAGGGCCATTAGCTATGCAGAAAGCTTTGGCCTTCCTCATGGACTGCATCTGACCATGGACATAGAAGACTCTGTAACCAGACTATGCTGCATTAGGAAGATCCTGGGCAGGAAGCTGCTTCCTCTGTCCATAAATCGTGTACGCTCACAGTGTGATAGCTTGCCTGTTGAGACAGTCAACAAATTTTTCTTGGCTGTGACAAAGTTCCTTTGAAATTCAAGAAGTGTATTTGTTTCCCCTGGCAGTATGAGAGAATAAAGTATTTCTAAAGACATAGTTACTAGGTAAATTAAAACCTGTCTGTGTATGATACAAATCAAACTTTTCTGTGTTTGCTCAGTCTCTCAAGAGATATTGATTTCTCCTGGGCAGGGAAAAAAGAAGCCACAACACGGACATACTCTAGCTACAGCTGCTACAAGGTATTCACTTCATGTTTTATTCATCACTGCTGGCAAAACCTATCACTGGAACATAGGAACTGTCATATTGGATTAGACCAGTGGGAAACAGAGTCTACTATCCTGTTTCTGATAGTGGTCAGTATCAGCTATTCAGACAGGACTGAAAATACTCAACCACAAACTTTATAAAAGGATTATGTACTAACCTAACCACAGAGGAAGAAGCATCTTCTTTAACCTCATAAATGTGTGCTTTGTTACACTATGGATAGCCTTATACACAAAAAAAAATAATTAAAAATATGCTTTTAAAAATGTGTTTTAGTCCTTAGATTCCAATCTTATGAAAACAGGCTAATTACACTTTGCACAGTTGATTGTGGTGACAATTTTCTCATAGAGAACCATTACCACACAGGATCCAGATCTGTACAACAAAAGATAGATAATACTGGAATTTGACGCAGATTATTAAAAGTTATTAGGTATGATGTATTATGTAGCATGATAATTAGGGAAAAAAAAAAAGAAAACAAAACTGAGAGAGGTTTGATGATGTCACAGCTACAGAATAGTGGTGATTAACACAGCCTGTTCTGAAGTACCTGGCAAAATAGAAATGGATTGAGAAGAACGTCTGTGATATACAACACAGACTTAGTGTTGTACAGAGTGTATTTAATTTGAGATGTTCTGCAAGAAAAGAGTTCACCAAAGGGTTCTCCAAGACACAAGTTGAAATGCTAAGCGTTGAATGTATATATAAAAGGACACAAAACTGAAGGTGGTGGTGAAGTATGACTATTACAGATTAAAAGTTTATTTCTAAAATAAATGTTCAAAGACGAATGACATGGAGAGCCCAAAATGTACCTGTTCAGAAACAAAAAGCATTCTGAAGAATGAGACAGCATCCCTAAAGCCAACATGAAATATATACATACTAATCTTAATCTCAAGAAGTCATAAAATATATTACTTTACCTCAAGGACAAAAATGAAGGTGAAAACAACAGACATTGTTGCTAAAGGCACAGTCACCGGATCTGCAGCATCCCACTGAAATGCAAACAAAATCTGCTCACAGAAGAGTAGCTGTTAAACAGAACTAAATATCGCTTTAACTTTTCTTGAAGGTTTTGTTAATGAATAGATTTCAATTTATAATGCCATCTTGGTGTATTCTTCTCTCACAGATTTACAGCTTAACTGGAAATTAAAAATAGTGGACCGGGCTACAAAAAGGCAGAAATTGACTCAGCTCCACAAGTTACAATTAATCTACAGTGATCTGTTCCAACTAAGATTGCTGTATCTAGAAATCATGCTTCCCTCCATTCATCACAGTAATGGCTCAACTGACTGTTAATTGGTGTTAGGAAATGCGCAACACATGCTGTACTACTATAATGAAACACTTAAAAGAAACACAATTACCTTTACTGATAACAACACAGACTGAGCCAGAACAAGTACAGCAATAGTTCTCTTAAAAAATGGATGCTGAGTTATATCATACATCTTAGCCCTAAAGCCGTCATTATCTGAAAAAGAAAGAGTTCGAGGAGGAGAGTTAAAATACACAGTGGTTTTTTTCCCCTATTTTTTGACATATTTGCCATGTTCATTAGTGGCAAAATAATCCTTTACCAGTTTCAAAATACAGTTCTAATTTTCTGCTACAATTTTCCATATCAAATAGGGCTTCTGAACATGTAATTTCAAATACTGAACACCAGTGTTGCATGAAGGCTTTGGTACTTGTAGGGCAAGTGCATCATTCAAGTGCTGTCAGGTTAATACATTCCATTCATATCATTAACAGCCAACTGCAAATATTTTTCATTTAGAAATTCGTTTTTTCATTAAGGCTTATCCTAAAACCATCGAAGCACAACCTTTTTTGGGTTGATTTTAATAGCCTTATGCAGAGATCTGTAGTTGGAGCCTGTTTCCACATTAACTTATGCACAACCTCCTAGTGGCCTCACGATTACAATTTTAATTTGAATCGCAGACTCCTGGGGAATTACGAACACTAGGGCTCAACATGAATAAAATCAAAATATCTTTGATACCCGGACGAGGTGGGAGATGAAGAGGTTGCGCTATCTTCAGTCTGCTTTTCAGATCTTCCCATCGTCTCTGATCTACAGTCAGTAAAGCTGTCCCCTTAATAAACAAAGAGAAGCGTATAAAGCTTTTGTCATATAAAAGCTAGAACATTTAATGCTGTAAACATGAAAACAACATTGTCTTTGGTGCCTGAAATAAAGTTACATACGCAACTCTCCTCAAATAACACACTGTTTGGGTAAAGGAGTCTAAAGTATCAGCTGTCACTCAAGAGGATTTCTGGATGCATTAGCTGTGAGTTTCTGGGACTCAACTCAGCAGGCACAGTTGTTGCTCTTTGTAGCAGCAGCCCAGTGTGGGCAGTGAAACGCTGCAGGAGGTCTTCCATTTGGCTGAACATCATTTGCCAGGAAGCACTATTTTAAAGAGTGGTCGATTTTGTCCGGACTTTGCTGCAGAAAATCCTGCAGCTTGTCAGTGCCGCTACAGTTTCTTGGGGAACGAGCCCTCCAGGAGACTGCTGCTGCTCTCCACAGCTCTTCCGCTTGGGGTGTAATTGAAATAAAATAATAGTATGCTATGAATCTACAAGAGCTCTCCACAAGGAGAGGTGGAGCTACATGGTGGTAGATAGTAATGTGTGTAAGCATTTTCGTAAGACAGGCAGAAACAAGCAAACACCAAACAGAATTCAACGTTACTTAAAATGACCTTCAAAACAAAATGAGGTCCTCATCACTTCAGAGAACTGTAAAATCTTGTGGAAGGAATCTGGAGTTACAAAAACAAGGGAGAACCTTTTCAAGGTAAATGTCACAAGCCTGTCTCCCAGACACTTGGCTGGTCCTCCAGTCAGCACGGAGCTGCACCGAGCTGGGCGATGGCTGGTGTCATCTTTGGGGCTTGCCTCGGCATTGGCTTGTGCAGACGCTGGAACTGCGGCTGGCTGTGCGACCGGTAAGGTCAGCATTCCTCCCTCTCAGGGGACATAATCTCTTTACGGAGCTCTGTCCCCAAATGGCACCCTGGGAGGAGGTGCCTTCCAACACGATGCAGAAGAACCGACGGATGTAAGGATGCCTGTTACTCCTGTCAGACCCAGCCCGTACCATTTAGAAACGCTTAAATTAAAAGGCAACTCATTCACCTCAATGAGTGTGTTTGATTTATATGATCGGAAAGCTTTCACTGCAAACAAGACAAAAGGTGGCAGAAAAAGCGGACCTTTGTAAAATTTAGAAATAGTGATGCCAAGTTGCATCATCAAGACCTGCGGGATCATTACAAGGTGACCACAGAGGAGAGCTCCAGAAGTGGGACTGCTGCTGGAGGAGCTGCGTTTGCATTCGGACTTCAGCTCAAAACTGCCAGATAAAATTTGAGTTGATCCGATCTTCACTGCTGACGGAACACATGGCACTTGGGAGCTGTGACAAGTGATGGGTGGGGGTTGTGAAATGGTGGGTGGTGGAACGCTTTGGGCTACTGCCCAGAGCCCGCTGTGGTACTTCCCAGTCCAATGTCTCCATGCCCACAGCTCTGACAGCTCACATGAAATATTATGGCATATCTGACTTTTTTTTTTTTTTTCCTTAGAAAATAGTTTATTCAGAAATTTTCCAACTCTGACCCTCCTCAACAACTCCTGGCACTACTCTAACCATGTATCAACCATGCACTTTCTAAAGCCGACATCTACTTAAAACACCAATACCTTGGCCAAGTAACTAGTTTTAAGAAGGTGTAACTTAACCTCACACAGTGGGCTGTTTTGCTCTCTTCTTTCTGGACTAGTTGCCAGCCTTCTATCTTACTTCATATTTTTTTCAGTTCCTGGACATTTCTTCACTCTACTTGAATGTTGATTGGGATGGGATTTCCCCCCCACTGCATAGTTAATGAACATATTCATCTTTTCAACTCAAATCTGAAGACCTTTTTTTTTTTTTTTTCTCTATAGTAAATACATGAAAACTAACAAGTATTCAAGAAAAAAAGAGAGAAAAACAAACATTATTTGCCAGGCAGCTACCTGAGGCTACTAAGAAAAAACTGAAGATGCTGAACCAGATGACATGAATTATTTTTACTGACTGTATTTTTAGTATCATGTAAAATCCATAGAAATATTGCATGATGTGCCTGTTCAGTGTAATTCACAGTGAACTGTTATTAGTGAGTAGGTTTTTGATGTTCAGACTAATGCTTTCCCTGTATTCAGATATGGAATTGAGGGAGGAGAGCATTCGTAGCTGAAAAGGTGGCCATAGTTTGAGGAAAACATAAAAGTAGAGAAAACCACCCCAAAGTGATAAATGTAAAAACCAGATAATTTTCTGAAAATGACAGGAACCCCAATTCAGGCCCTACACCTCAGACTTCTGCATTTACACTGGCAGCTCATGCAAGGGCAATCTGGGCTAAGACAAATTGTTTAGATATCTCCTGTGCTCACAGTCCTTATAAGCCTCATGTTCACACCTTCCTGTTCCCTCTCGTTTTAAATCACAGTGAATGTAAACTTTTACTTTTCACATGAGCTTGAGCTGTCTTTAAAGCTGCATATCTAGGAGGAGGGACTGAAATATGAATCTGCTACACAGTCACATATAATTAAGGGTATATTTCCCCTGTTCATGTTTGTATTTCAAACATAAAAATAAAAAACTGGTGAAAGATTATTGTGGGTAAATCACTTTGAAAGTAACCTGTCAGTTGGCCCAGATCAACTTATTCCATAGTTGACAGTTGACTACACAGATGAATACTGAGCTATGAGTTAACAACATCTCACTAATTTGTTGAAAGAAATCTCACACGCTGCCTTTGTAGGAGACCGGCTGACACAGTGAGCTTGATCTTCTGAGTGAGTCCTATGGAAAGAGCGGGAACTACGAGCGAAAACACTGTCTAGGAGATGAACAGCACTTAATAAGTAGCCTACTGCCACAAAAGCATAATAAAAGTCACGCTAGTAAGGGCAAAGATCCAGATCCTCTAGCATATCTTTTCTATGACAATGGCCAAAAGTAGATGCCTGTAGGTGTAGCAAAGCAACCAGAGCAGCGAGTGTCTCCTGATGACTCTCCATTGCCCACAGAGCTGGCTCAGAATTCATGACAGACACGTTCAAGACCACATGCAAAAATAACGGGAAATGCGCCACTTCCTCGCTCCTCAACACCACACGTGCCACACCACAACAGGGTAAAGGAAAGATGTTTCATCAGCTGTGATCAAAAACTATTTAAGAACGAACTCTGTAATGTGATATTTGTGCCTATGAACAGGTTTTTGATAAAACTGACCTGTGCAGAAAGTGTAAAGGGGGATGTAGAAACAATTTATATGATAGAAATGCTCAGCTAACATCTCAATAGAGTTTCATGATGTACATGACAGAAACACACATAGCTAAATACATCATAGCTATGGAAGAAAAACATTGTAATAGTTTTAACATTTCAAATAATATTTTAATTACCTGTAATTTAAATAGAATGACTTCTTAGGGTTTTTTTTGTTTCAAGACTTGCTGAAAAATATTTTGTATTCATCAGTGTAAGGCTGACATATTTGAAGGAAAAGTGATATTACGCTGAACATGAAGGGGCAAAAGCATCTATAAAAATCAAGTGGAATTCTCATCCTGGACAAATTTCAGCTCTGTTAATTCACTAGTCAAAGTTTATTGAATAAGAAAATAAATGAATAGCAAATTGCTCCTTGTTCTTTAGAACAGATGTATTTTAACAGGAATAACTGCACTTCATCTCACCAAAATTACACTGGAGTCCTGCAAACATAAAAATACCTTCTGAACAGCAGAAGTTTTACACTGTTTATTTGAGTGGCAATCTGCTTGACGTCATTTCAGGATGCCTTGCTTGCCCACATTGGACACACAGCCGAGTGCTGCTCAGCTCCCTTCCAGAAGGAGTCAAGTGGTTTCTTTGAAGGGCAAACTCAACAGTTGCGTTTGCTACAGAGTTCGGGTCAAAGTCATGGTAGGGTCATGGCCAGCACCCACTTTGTCTCCAGCGCTAGAACACTGGGTTGTCTTGTGTCTCCAAGACCCAGAGTGCACACTCATCCTTTCCCTCCAGTGCTATGAGTGGCATAGACAGCTCATTATTTTTGGACTTTGAAATGAAAGATGTAAAAAATTAATAATTATAATGTCTTGGTGCCACAGGGGCATTAGAAGAAGCTCAGGAAAAAGGCAGATTAAGGGTGGTGCAGTGTGTATGTGGCAGTCCCAGCCAGAGGATGCTATCTTTAGCAAGTGTAGACACGAGCTGCTCTGTAACAATTCACCTGGGGGCAGGTTTTTCTACTTTTCAGGGTAATTCGAAAAGCCCCTGTGAACTGCAGGTTTTTTCCTAGAACACTAGCTACTTTTTTTGTTTGAGTGATAGACAATTTTACAATGTACTCTGCTGTTTGCCAGGAAAAAGCCATGCAGCTTTACTTTGGATCTGAAATACTGCATTTGCAGGGCTCTCATAAGACCCCTTAGTCGTAACATGTACAAGCATAACATGTCTGTTTACCTGCCACCGCATGTACGCCTACACGAAACTAAAACAGCAGAATGTGGAGCATCTGTATATACATTGTCCTTTAGGTTCAGTCTCCATCTGGCAACACATCTGCATTGTAAATAAACTCAGGCGTGTGTGATGAAAGAGTGTGTGATAGATCGCTGTCATCCCAGGCTTGAGTTTTGTAGCAAATATGGATGAGATCTATCTGAAGCCATACTTGCAGGCTTGCAGAATGTATTGGTAAGGCAGTGTTAAAGGCAGTCTTACCAGTTAACGTAGACATTGTAATATCAGTTTCAGGTTTCTTACAGAGCCAGTTCTATACACAATAAACCACTTCACTCGGTACCTTGTTTTCATTGAAATTAGCGATGACAACTCCAACGAAAAGGGTCAGTCCAATCATGCAGCCAAGGAATACAAAAACATGAATGTAGATTCCATGGATCTGAATAGTCAAAAATAAGATTAACAATTAAAACAAATCAAAGTATCTGTTGTAGAATTCAAAGACTCTGATGTGTTTCCTTACCGGCCCAACACGATGAATAATAACATCTCTGACTTCCACCCAGCCTTTTAACGAAAGAACTTCAAATAGTGCCAGCATTGCGTTCCCCACATTGTCAAAATTAAAATTCCGAGGATTTGCCCTGAAATGCAGTACACAAATAGATGTAACTTTAGCAATAAAGTTGTTGTTTCCATTTGTTACCTTGATTCTTCATAGTCTAACTAATATTTAAATACCTTGCAAAGTTGGTGTGAAAACCTCAGAAATACATCATTCAAAGTTCTGTCTCAAGAATAAGAAAACAATAGCAACGGCTATAAATATGTACAGCATATTTTTTGATCCCTATGTATGTTTTATTTTCTTACTCAGAATCTGATTCACAGTAATAAAGGTTATAACATGTTGCTGCATTTATTGTTTTTGTCAATGAAATTAGCAAAATACAGCATCCATGAAAAAATGGATCTGATGGCATTGGATAGATTCTAAAATAAATTTACCTGAAGGAGACCAGTCTCAAACCCACATAAATGACGCAGACATCAAAGTCAGTGAGATCTTTTAGAAAATGCTGTTCCTTAATTCATTATCGTCAGGAACTGATGGTCTAAAGCAAAACTTACTGACAGGACATCAAATCTTTGCTTTCCTATACCATATGCTCTCACCTTTTGTATCAGCTGAGATTCAAAAGGATATTTCCAGCTGAACATTAAAAGTATCCTCTTTGGTCTATGGCTCTGTCTCTACAATCCGAGACAGATAATCCAAGGAGCCCAATTAATTTTCAACAATTTATAAGGTAAATAGTTGTATTCCAGAGGAATTATTGTTTGGTGCTTCTGAAAATCCAACCATTCAGTGAAAAAGAAATCTCTCAGATGTAGATATTTCTTTTAAATGCAGTCGTTCTACTGACATTTGGCTCTTGAAAATCTGGCCTGACACAACCAACAGGTGGTATAAATGTCCTTGAGGTAAAACATTTTTCTGCAATAATAAAACATTCCCCAAAGTTTACAGTTATGCTGATTGAGACAGTTTTTGCTTATTTCTGGATAAAGCTGAAGAGGACTGAATTTGCTTACTTGAGGAAGAATTTGTCTGAAGCATACGGAAACAAAGACTTCTGCAGATGTCAGAGCTTCACTGACTGTTCAAATCACAGCATATTATTTCATTAGTGTAGGATGGCTCTGAATCTACCACTGCTGGTACATTCTTTATCCATGCACATAGTCAATTAAAATAATTGTGGCTGTTAAGCTGATTTTGCAAAATGCCAACCAACTTAAAAATGTAAACAATTAAAAAGAGATTTTTTGCCTGTTCAGGTGTTGGGAAATATTAAATGAACTTTATCAGAATACTAATCATAAACATAACATTAGCTCTTAAATAATTTTTACTGCACTACTGCACCAGATAGATCACAAGGATTCCCTGCACTGGAAACAGAAAGAAGCTGCTAGCTGGCATGGTTGATGGCCATAGAAGAGAAAGGCTGGTTTCAGGCATGATGGGCTCTTTTTTTTTTTTTTTTTTTATGGGCAGCTGTAGGCAGGTTGATTTCCATTTCTTTTTCTTGCCATCTTTTTGTATTTATTATTAGGTTCTGTTGTTGATGTACGGCTCTCAGGATGTCTTCATAATAGTACTAAAGAACAATTAAGTGATAATCTTGGTTCAAGTCAATAATTCCCACTGTAATAATAATCACATCTAGCTCCTATCTAGGAACAGTACCTACAGGTATTTTTTTCCTTTCTGCTTTATGAATAGAACAGCAAGTTAAGTCTGGAAAGTTTCATATATCTGTTTTTTTATTAAATATACCAGAATTTTTACCCTTAATATCATTTGACTTACAATAAAACCCCTCCATCAGTAGTTTAATGCAAGGAGATTTGAGCCATTTTCTACATCAACAGCTGAATTTTCCAGGAAAGATAGGCCAATGTGTAACAACTCACCAGACTCGTGGCACCCAAAATCCAGGCTTTTTCTCTCCAGGTCTTAACTTTAAATTGAGATTTTTGGAAACACTTACATTTATTCTGAAGATGCCATGACAATCTTCCTATAGTGAAATAAACCACAGCCTGAGATTAAATAATGGCCTGTGAGAGATGCCAAAATGCCAGTATAGACAGTACACTTGCCGTGATGGGGAAGTAATGTAAACAGAAATTAAAGGTTATTTACAGGTCTAGGATTAATAGCCATGGACCTTTACCCAAATGAAAAATGCATCTTAGGAAGGATTCAAAAACCCCTTCTCCTTCCAGGACTAAGAGTGCTTTTCATTTTCCAAGACTATCTGTCATAGAATGGTTTGGGTTGGAAGGAATCTTAAAGATCCTCTAGTTCCAACCCCCCTGCATGGGCAGGGACACCCTCCACTAGACCAGGTTGCTCAAAGCCCCATCTAGCCTTCCACCTCTTTCCTAAAGATCATTGCTCTCTTTAGGTGATGATAATATTTCTCCAAATGGAGTAAGAAACAGTTAACTTTCTCCATGTAACCTACAGAGCATTCCCAGTGCTTTTGACCTCTAGCAGCCTAACCTGGTTTTTAGCTGCTGAGCTAGGAATGTAAAGGTGTCACCTCTCATGGTTAATTCCATGTGATGTTCAATCCTTTGCAGATAATATGGCATGAATTTGATAACTTTTTCAGACAGTCCCCAATATTTGGACTCGCTTTACTGTTTTACATGAAAATCCAGCCTTCCCCTCATTCATTCACTGCTTTATCACCTCTCCCTCCATCACCCTGCTTCCAAACAAGAAAGTGCCCACGATCTCCATCTCTCGTGTGATGGCTCTGATTGTCCCACTCGCTTTCCCCAGCAGGCAGAAATGGCACTGCATGCCATTGTTTTGAAGCAGAAAAGCAGCTCTTACCCTAGAGATGATGTGCGGATCATTGCATTTAGCCAGTTTTCCAGCAAATAGCTGCACTCCAAAGCTTGCGAAAACAAGCATTAACGTGAGCAAAAGAATAGAAACCTGTAAAGATGAAGTTAGATTTGTCAAGCTCTCCTCCTGCAGCCTTGAAAAAGAGGGTCGGATCCTTCCACAAACTTCAGGGAGGATTGCTTTGTTGCGTAAACCTGAGGATATGGCTTTTGTGACAGACATGTTACTTTAGGTTCCGATCCAGTAACCAGGTGCTGTGTTGTTGTTGTTGTTGCTATTATTATTATTATTATTATTATTATTATTAACATAGTATCTAAGAATTGCAGGTAAGGATCAAAGATTTCTTGCACTCAGTGTACCACCTTGCTAAATTCTGTACATATAAAAATTGCCATTCACTTTAAAGAGAACTCGTCAAGTACTTTTAAACATGTGCTGCTTCTGTTTTGCTGAATCAGGCTTTACTAATTAATCTGAGTAAGCCATTGTTAGATATTTAATTCCAGAATAGCTACAATAAAGATATGCTTGAGCAAACTATGATGTAAATATCTTTAATAGAATAGGGTATCTATGAAATGCTAACTAGCTTTATACTTTTTGTCCTTGCTTTATTACTGTCTGCAAATATTTTATAGCTTAGCTTTTTGTAACTACCTGACTTAATACAGCATCTGTTGAGGAACAAAATGTCTGTTGTTTAGGCTGACAAATATCACATGGGGTCCCAAGACATAGATTAGATTCTGATCAAGCAATCATTATTGTTATTATTACTATAAGTGCCTAATCATGATCATAATAATAACAACGACATAAGATGAGATCCAGATCTGTGATGAACAACTGTATTGTCTGATTGCCTCTCAAAAAACTTGGAGGTAGAGACCTTCAGCTCAGAAACCAGGTTTACTTTTGTTCTTGCAGAGCTGACATTCCCTAATTATCTTCCTTCCCCAGCTAGAACTGTGAATAAGGGGTAGATTTTATTTCAGTAGTCTTCCTATGTAATTATGGCCAAATATATGCCAAATGAATAATATAATTTCTAAAAGAATTATTACAGCAGCTTTATTCAGTATAAATGTAAATGAGTTACTTATATTCCTAAATTTTAACCTGTTCTGTAGTCATCTGCAGTGGTAACTACAATGAAAAGTAAGCAGACAACAATGGAGAAAAGATTAGAAAACATAAACATTACAGCAAAATGGTATCTTACTACTCCTCCATATCTTCTTTTTATCAAGAACAAAATAATTGGCACATACCAAAAATATTTCCTTAAAGCCACTAAACAGCTCTCGCACCACTTTCCTCATCTGAGGGACCAGTTTGAAAATTCGAAGAGGTCGGAGGCAGCGGAGGACCATTAAGAGCTGAGCTCCGGATTTGGCAGGGACGTTCTGAGGCATCCAGCACAGGAATATCAAACTCACCTTGAGGAGACAGGGCAGGAAAAAACAAAAAAGAATTAGGCTTACAATGTCTTACTTGACACAGACACAGCACAGAAGATCAACACACACTTCTCTTTCCTTAAAATTAAAGGGAAGATTAAGGCAAGAAAAGCCTAATTTAGAAAAAGGACTTGGATCTCCTGTGCCCTGGCTGATTATCCTAACTAATGGGCATCAGCTTCAGCCTCTGTCTTCCCCTTCGACTTAAACCCTATTTTATTCTTTTCAGCAGATGGAACAGTTCCAAAAGAAGAAAGCAAATTGGCTGATTCAGAGCAGGGACATGAACTATATTCTTGGAGCAGGCAGCATCATCTCTCTCCCCACTTCTCATTTCAAACAGAGATTCTATCCTGAAACTGAGATATCCGCACCTGGAAAATCTGTTAACAGTTTCCTCACTAGTTTTTCCCATCACTTTGTTATAGGCATAAGTAGTTTTGTAACCGTGTGAATGTTATGCATTCAAAAGTGTTTTCAAACAGCATAGTTGTGTCTTGTAGCCTGAACAATCTCTGACAGATGGTGATTGATTATAAAGTCTGTTAATTACTTCTTATTTTTTAAAAGTATTTGTAATAGGGGGACAGAGGTGAGAGTGTTACAAAGAGGTAAGTGCACATAAAATGGAGGATCAAGCTGATATCACCAATATGATTTATAACATAATACGATTTGTTAAAAAAACAGTGGTAAAAGACAGTCGCCCCACCAAAACAAAAAGATTTGCCAGTGCTTCTGACTTTCTTTCATATTTTTTTAAGACCACCAAAGGCACATTTGGAATATTCAAGCTACACCACTTAAATTTTCCTTCAGACAAGCAGAGGGATTCAGAGGGATTTCAAGAAACTAGTGCACATACTGATTATGCGTACTACAGTAGGATTTTCATATAAGTATGCATATTTTTATTTATGCTAACAATGGAATCTTTGATACAAATTGATCGTGACAAATTTTATGCAGCACATCTGTCTGGCGGATTAATCTCTGAAAGATTTAATCTAAATCCATCAAAGCCATTTTGCTTAGTAATTTCTTCAGTTAGAAAGTATTTCATACTGCATTATACTGAGCACTGGTTTTGACACATTCTGTGGTGTGTATTGTCACACGTGAAAAGGAAACGGACCCCCTTCTCTTGTGTTTGAATGGCATGGAAGAAATTTCTGGGGGACAAAGAAAAGAGTAGAACAATTTTTTCCTGAGAACCGCTACTGATAGGTATGGACTATAGTAAGATGCTGCTTTGCTTTCTTTCTGCTATAGCAACACCAGCAACAAGGATCTGCCCTTATGTCAAATGGTAGAGGCTTTTCAAACACCTTCTATAAAGCAGAACTGTCGAGAGGGCAGGAAGCAATGAATGGCTAAGAAATAGATAAAATAAAGATTCTGCTGCATATAAATACTGAAGCAAGGTCAGAGATTTCTAGTTTACTTTGGAATCAGGTCTCATCCTTTAAACATATCAGCAAATAAACAATTAAAAGGGGCCATACAATGGCCCTACACTAAATTGCAAGGTACTTATCACACCTCACTGTATTTTAGATGTCTAAATGAGTATTTGTACACATACCTGACAGAACTGCACATAAAAACAGTGGTGTTCGTACACAAATTACACTACTGCATTTGCAGAGCCAAACTTTTTAACATTACCAAGCATTTATATATCCAAAGATATCAAAATTAAGAACACTACAGAAACCTCCCATAAACATAAAAACTTACAAGATATATAAATATGTCCATAACTCCTCCAAAGTCCCTAATGACAGCTGTTGGTGTAAAAAATAAGCCATCTGCCATAATCTTCAGATTAAGCTCAATGCTCATGAATATTACAAAAACGTATTCAGCAATCTGAAAATTAAAGCAGAGAACAGTCATAATTTAGGAACAGGCAGTGGAGAAAACCCAGGTGACTGTGCTTCATTAAATGTAAAATGATTCAGTGACAGTACCTGGAGTGTTGGAGCATGCATAACTCTTCTAAAGGGGGATTCGAACATCATGGAAATGCAGGAGCATATAGTAACAATGATCATGACCCAGTCCAGGTAAGTAACCAAACCCAGCAAGTCACTGCAAACAATACATAAGGATAACCATTATAGAAATGCCCAGAATGCTGTGTCAGTTGTGTTGTGTCTACACCACAGTTCAGTGCTTTCCTATGAAAAATAAATTAAGCTGAGGAGTGTCAGAGATTTCAGTATTTCAGAAATGCGTAGTAAAACTAGGGAAGTTACATGCAAGTGAAGAAGACAAGTCTGATAAAAATATTCTCTTCCTATTCATCCTCCTCCCCAAACAACTCTATGGAAAGACAAACCTTTTTTGGAAAAAAAAAAAAAAAAAGAAATACACATGTGCATGCACACATATACCCATACATGCATGTGTGCGCTCACACACTGAAACTGCAGGCTTATGTGACCAAGCAAAGTTACTTTTGCAGTGCTTACTAAAGCTGATGGTATTTGGTATTTTTCACAGCTCCAGTAACAGGATCTGTTTTAGAACTATAAAAAGAAGAAAAGATACAGTCATTTACATTTTATTTTAGTCAGCATTATAATTATACCATGCATCCATCACCTCAAAGTAATTTATATCCAAAATCAAGGCTACATTTTATCTTGGCTTAATTTTATATGTCTGTATAAGTTTCATTTAATTTGAGTCATATTATCAACGCATCTAGTATCACTTTAATTCATGGTCTATTTGTAATTCCTCTAATGATTCTTTAAACTGCTAGTTTTTGGGGTCTTGCTTTGTAAGCAAGGACTTAATTTTGTATTTTGCTTGGGGACAGGGGGGCGGATAACCTGCTACTGAATTTCGTGTTCCAAAGTGCTTCCTCTGGAGTTCTTTTTACTTCAAAAACCTCTTGGACCATATCCTCAGCTGACACAAAAAAATTCTTCCACAAGCCCTATTTTTTTTAATTACTTCTTCAATCATTTTCTGATGAATATTTCTATATTCTCCATATCTGAATTTTCCTAGGAAATTGCTGTGCTTCACCTACCATATCCAAACACCCATGAGGTGGCCAAGAGAGAGTGAGAATCACTCTGTAAGTAATAGGTGACACAATTTAAGTTCTTGCTCCAGCAATTACCTAGGCTTTTTATGCAAAGCAGAATGGCGTCAGCAGGAGAAACTACAAGAATCCTATCCAAGAAGCCTCCCCTGCTCCAGTGGTTAGGGACACTTTTTGCCTATCTTTCAAATCCTTGTAGCAAATCATGCCGAGACAGGATCCGCACTGAGGTATCCTATATCCCATATGAGAGCTGCAGCCATTGGGATGTGAAATTGCCATCATTTCCTTGCTGGGCTTAAAGTGAAAAATGGACTGACCTAACTTGAAGCATTACCACCAGAAGGTATTTCATGGTTATAAGTTACAAGAACGCAAGATGCACACAAAGAGAACAGGAGACATCTTCCACAGGCCAGGTTCACCCAACTTAAACCAGTTGGTATATAGAATACACTGGTTTTGGTGCCTTTGCCTGAACCCACTGATTTTTGTGTCTTCTTAACCTCATATCTCTTCCCCACATTGTATATAATGGCATTCCTTAGCCTCTTTTACTACAACAGAATACGTATCCTATCAGTTTGAAAAAGATCTCTAGAATATCTTATTTGGCAAGCTGGGTGGGACAATGAATAACGTAGGTAGGATTTAAAGAAATGAAAAAATAACTGTTTAACAAAATCAGTTTACTTTTCTAATTGCAAACATTTTAATTAAACTGTTTATAATATAAATATCCTGTTACCCTCGGGCACTCCACAATGCTGAGAGGCACAGACATGTATTTGACAAGTGGATGGAAATGCATGTTTGTGTGTTTTGTTTTGCTGTTTTAATTTGCAACTGCTTCATGGACCAGCGAACTGCAATCAAGTTAGCAGTTGCATAGAAAAGTAGGCACCTAACTCAAGGACATGCTTCTACGTAGGTGGCAGAACACTTAAATATGGCTATTGTAAAACTGACTATCTAACCTTCCTGTTGTTCTGCCTGGAAGTAATTTGTTGAAGGGCACAGAGAAAATCAATTGTAAAGCAGGTGCTGAAACCAGGTCTTCCAAGTGCCAGGCTCATAGCCTTGAGCTATCTTCTGTCTTACAGTGACTGTTGGCAAGGTGACATGCATCAGCCCTCCAAAATTAGGGTGCCAGCCATAGACAGAGGTTTAAAAGAAGAGCTATAAGATGATTTTTATATCAAGTTGCTTGTATATAGATCTGTATCTGCCATGCTCGCATACACCTACAGTTTAATTACTGAGTCTTCCTGGTTTTCACCTGGTCTCAGCTTTTCTCCTTTTATCTCCCACAGCTGAACACCTCTTCATCCCGTTCTGGGTCTCTAATTATGGGCTAAGGAGCCTGTGGGAGAGCATAGTGGGATTCATTTCTCTTCACCCTTTTCTATTCTTTGAGTAACTGCTGGTGCATAAAGACTTCCCGCCTTCTGAGGAATAGGAAAGGAATAGCAAGCTGATTCCCCAAGGACCAAAACTGGTCTTAGACTGGGGGTATAAAACATTACCCTTTCCTCTCAGTTCATGCCTGCAGTTTCCCCACAGTCTTGTCCCATCTCAGCATCGCAGACTGCTCAAACATGTCTGCCCTTACTCAGCATTTTATTGGTTTCTTTCCTCCAACAGCAAGACATAGGCAACTGGCTGCCAGCTCGTGTGGTGACCACATTATATGCAGTCGCCCTTTCAAAATTAAAGTTAGACCTAGATTTCTGAGGATATGAAAATAAATGCTTGTCTGAACCAATTGTTGATACGGAATAAACTTACGCATTAAAGCGAGCTCGTACCACCACTCGGCAGAAATTCCTGAATCTGTGCTCACGACCAACTATGAAAAGTGGTTTATCAAAATATGGATGATTCTCTCGCAGCTCCTCCTCTTGGACTTTCCTTTTGAAAGACAAAATATAAATTATTAAGTGATATGCATTATACCTGGCAAAAATATCTTTTAAACTTCATTCTTTTTTTATCATGACTCTCAATACTTTTTACTTCATACAGAGAATACTTAATACAGAAAAATGTGCACTCAGACTTTTGATTTTTTAAATACCTTTTCATTTCAGCTTGTTCTTTTTTTTCTTGGATCATCTTTATCTCACTGTCTTCTCTCTGTGCATTTCTGTATCTCACTGTGTTGGAGTGCTAGAAGCAAAATGATTCCTTTTAAATGAGGTCTGTGGGTTGTTGTTTTGTCATGTTTCAGATGAAAGCCAGATACAGTATTTTACATAGAAAGTTTCAGATGAAAAATCTTTATTTCCAAATGCACCGCACATCAACTCAGTCAAGATATTGTGCAGTATTTTCCATCTACAGCACAAGGCTGCTTATTTTGATCAAGGTTATTTTCAGTCTTAATTTCATGCGTGAAGTCCCATCCAACACAACTTTTAACTTTAAAACCAAAGGTCCTGTAAGCTCAGCTGATCTCTCTGAACTGGAATGAATGCCATCAAAGTTCCTAAGGGTGAAGACTGGGAAAGAAAAGGCTTTAGACACCCTTTTGGCTTCTCGAGCCTGCTGCATGTGCTGCCAGGCAGCAAGTTGTGCAGAACACACAGTTAGTGACCGCGGAGTGCAGGGACAGGAGAGAGGGAGGGAGAACGGGTGCCTGAGCTCATCCAGTGGAGGCTACAATCAGTATTACTATCCAGATTTAAGCGAGTCTTTGGAACACTCCTGGAGGGGTAATGCTAGGTGTTACCCTTACTATTGGACACAAGCAAAGCCATATTTGCTTTAAAAGACTAGTAACCTACAGTTTCTTTCTACCACAGCATGGAAAAAGTCACAAACTACTTCTTATGCAGCTGTTTTTAAGTATGAAGCACATATAGAAATGACTATCATAGTTTGGAAATGGAGGGACTAATATTGCCTCTTGAATTTTCATAGTCACAGAGATCCACAAAATATCATTATGAATTTGCAGAAGTGAAAATGCTGTCTAACTGCATGCAACTATAGCACAGTGAAATCCACGATTACAATTCTCCCTTTTAGTCTTCTTTCTGTCCTTTTGTCTGACAGTTCTCGTGTTTGAAAAATACTGTTAAACTTCCACTCGAAATTTTGAACTGCTGTTTTGCCAGCCTGAGTGATTCGTGTAATTCCAGAGTGAGGCTTTTTGAGGTGTCCTGGGTAGCAATTGTTGTCTTCCTAATGTAGCATCTACAGATTCAGTGAATCTATCTCAGCAAGTGTTGCAAAACCAGCCAGTCTATCACTGAAATAATCATGTCGATTATTTTGAGGATAATCCTAATACAATTACAGACTTGTTTTACGATATCAAGATTTCAAAAGTCAAATTGTAAACAAGATCATAGACAGACATTAGTCTTACACAAGCATTTATTATATAGTACACATTCTTATTTCTTATATTCTTAAATTGAAACCATCATTTCTATGAGGACTTACATCTTGAGTCAACGTTTCAAGAGATTTTCCTCTGCTGATTCGCTGGCTGTTGGAACCATGTCTCAGTGACCTGAAACAATCATAATCAATTTAACGATACATCTCAAGATGCAATTTTGACCTTTATAGGATGGCCATTACAAAGCACTGCTCTCCAGCCACCCAATATCTCAAATTCTTACCGTTTTTCTCTCGCTAACATCAGAAGCTTGTATGTTCTTCAATTGTTTTCAATCCAGTCTAACATAAGCTAATTTCTTTCCTTCTGATCTTTAAACTGATAGCTTTGTAGTCAGTGAAGGAAATGACATTTGAAATAAAAAGGCATTTTTTCCATTTATACAGTACAATGAATTTCATTATGGTTACAATGAAGAATGTAGAATTCAGTTCTTTGTACAAGTAATTTCAGTTTTTCACACGTTAGGTATTGCTCAAATTTAATTCTTTCCATCACCTTTATTTTAAGAATATTTTTAAACCATCCTTTCTGTCCGTGTTTACCTGCGTTCTTGTCGTATATGATGCTGGACACTAAGTATTGACCTTTCCTTTGCAGGCTGCCCCTCAAAGGATCCACTCAGCATGCGTTGTCTAGTGCAGGCTCTACAAAGAAATACAATTATGATGACACAGAGTTTTCAGTATAAATGATAATTTCTGAGGTAGTGTGTTCAGACAAGTCAGCTTGGCTTTCTGGGAAGCAAGTGCCCAGGTTAACAGACAATAACAATAAAACAAAAATGGACTTTCCATGAAAACATATTTCCAAGGCAATGGTCCCCACTCTGCAACATAACCGGTCATCTGATGAAGCTTCTCCCTGCCTTAGCAAGGGCCATCTTTGATTTTTTTTTTTTTCCAGTTTGCTGTAGAATTTATGGTCCCTCAAGACTTCACTAAGTGTGAAAAGGGTCAAGCAATGGACTAATGATCAGTAAAACTAGCTTCTCAGAAATAAAGAAGGGAAGAGTACAACAGCTGTCATTTTGGGGCAGCTCCCTTTCAAAGCTGTATATGGCAAAATATTTATGTATGCGCTCAAGAGTTACAGCATATCTTGGAGTGTTCTTCTGCATAACTGGGACCATATATGATTTGAAATGAAAAGCTGCACTTTGCTGACATGAAATGTCTGCTCTTTGGGAATGTATTGAACTTGCAGCATTTTGTTGTGTGTTTGGTTTTTCACTTGTTGGCTCATTTGTTTCATTTTGCTTTTGCTAAATTTTGGCAAACACATTTTACACATTTTGGTAGAAATGAGTATTTATTCTTTAGTAAGTGTGCTACAGATAAACAAAACATGCGTATCTTTATTTTGATGGCTACAATGAAATGGATTTGCTTAAGAAAAAGAGAGGTTTCCACTAAAAGAGCTCACACAAATCCTCCAATGGTTGAGAAATGAATTTCAACATTGGAAAAATATTTTAACTTTCCAGGAATGCTGCAATTTGAAGTTTACACAGTGCACAACTTGTTGCTCATTTTGTGTTATGCAATCATTCAGAGAAACACAAGACCCAGCTGGTAATATTTCATACATTTTAATGAACTGAATCTCCATTTTTTTTTAAACAGGAAAAAAACTACATGCTGTTGGAGTAACCACTCTATTCACCAGTCTACTGTAAGGCTTAGATAAATGCTATCCTTGACAGCACTGGATGATCATGCTTGACAGCAAACAGTGTCCCACGCATGTTCTTTCCCCACTGTGACTTTGTTTTTCACTCTTCTCTGCTGTTTCTCCTTCTCTTGGATTTAAACACATAGATACAACTAGGGATCCAAAGTGAGATCTGGAACAAAAATGAGAAGCTTAGAATGCTTGTCAGTGTCATCACTGCCAATCATACTAGCATGCTAGAAAAATATATTGCGTTACATTTGTTATAGAAGGCATTAGGTTACACTATGCTGAACTGAAGCATCATGCCATTTCAGAAAATTACTGTGTCTTATAAAACACAGCTCATCTTAGCCAAAACATGAACATTTTAATACCAATGGATTTTAAGCACTATATTAATGCAGGATTCTACTGTCAGAAAAAAACAGAGATATTGTTTGAATACCTATGCAATTTTCTTGAGGGGGAAAAAAAGTTATTTCCTAAAAATAGATCCTACCTAACTGCATTAAAATGACAATCCAGTTTTTCCCAGCAGAGACAATAGAAAGTTCTGGGGTCTGACTTCTGTATAAAGGCTTCTTGCTGTGACAAAGAGGGTAACTTATCTTTTTTTCCCTGTAAATATAAATTATTGTGCTCTGCTTGTAACAACTAGAAATTATTTTCTTGACATCAAAAAGTGACTTGCACATAAACTTTTCATGTCCTTGTATACAGGTTACTGGAGTATCAAGTAAACATAAACTCTTAGTGCCCATAATAAAAGAGAACATTAAATGCTCAAACTTTACCTGACTAATGAACAACATGGCTTATTTGATTATTAATGGTATAATAAAATACACTTACCCATATACTATACAGAATGGGCATGTATAAAGGGTAAGACCTGTAGAAAGACTGTATTATCTATGATCTCTGCCTAAGTTAGATTCCTAAATCCATATTTAGAATTTATATCCTTTGCCTCATTTTCAATAACTCTGCAAGCCCTGCAGCTCCTCCTGAAGTTAACAGAGAAATAATGAAAAGCCAGTTGTATAGCACAGAGATCAGAAATTTTTATCAAGTAACTGCAAAGAAACTTTTTGTGTTTTCAGGGAAAAAGATGCTGTGCTGAAAAGGCCGTGGCTACTTTTGACAGCCTCTCTCCCGGCATTCTCCACTTGATGGGAATTAGTGCCTTAACCTTCCTTGTATTAACTCTTAGTAAAAGCCATGCTTTGTTATCCTTTTGACTCAGGATCTGGATATTTTTCAGCTGTTTAGACACCTAAAGTTGCAGATCTTTGGGGACTTTTGAAAAAGAAGGCAGGTGCCAGGAAGTTTTTGGAATTGCATAGTTGCTAACTTCAAAGTCTACAATAGGATTAGTTTTCTTCTTGTAGACACCTACACTTATGTGCTTGCTCTCAGTGCCCACATGCGAGCCATGTGTCCAGGCTTCCCTCATAATCAGTGGAGATGTAGGATTCAATTAAATTGGTTGCATGCTGGTGGCCAGTGCCACCTGCCACGCCTTGGAGTATGTTGCCTTGCTTCCAGCTGCTGCTCCAGCAGGGTATGGGTCCCCTACAAATTTATGTATTACCTGCCATCCTCAAGAGGATGTTTTGGACATCCTCTGGCATCTCATACATTACTAGATGTCCATATGTGGAAAACTTCATTGAATGCTTGGTCAATTAATTTAATGAATGATGTTTGGGAGCTATTCAAGTAATCATAAAGTGGGCATCTAAAGACAAACCAGTCAGCTAAAATCTCACTGGGCTTCACTGACTATATTGACCAGATTTCTGTTAACTAGATGACAGACGTTATCACTTAGCTTACTGGCAGATCTGGTGGTCTGGAGGTGAAATCCACACCTGGGACAATCATTGTGCCACAGTGTTAAAAATTTAGTCCTATGTGTCAAATGGGAGTAAAAAAAATGTTTTCTTGACTTGATATATCTTCACCTAACTGTAGCTGGTTGAAATCTTTTGACCTTTCTTTGAACAATGCAGGAAAAATTTCCTTTTTTAGCTAAAATTGTCCTTTCCATCTTCCTATACCACCTCTATGAAACACCAGATAGGTTCATGTTCACTGGTGGAGGAATGAGGAAGTTATGAAACAAAGGAGAAGAGACAAGAAACATGTCAAGCTTCTGGACTTTGTACTCTGCAGAATTCTGAACATAGTGCAGCAGCTGCAAACTACTGGTCCAAATTTGCCTTGAAAAGCACAAGCACAAATGTAATAAAATATCCTGAAACAGAAAATGTGATTTGGTAGGTTATCAAAAAGCCAAGCTAAGGTGAAGACCATACAGAACAATATGATATTGGGATACCACATAGTTTGTATTACCTGAGAACAATTATGAGGTCCAAACTTTTGAAGTCCTTTAAACTATTTCATGCATTGGAACCCCTGAAAAATAAGTAGTGAACAGAGTGTTCAAGTAACATTCTTTGAGGTAATGTAAAATGTTAAATGCTTTGATCAATACTTCAAAATACTATACCTTTAATGATTATTCTGAGGTCTCCTGCAGAGGGTATACATATGGCTCACGCCTGGACTTTTTAGGGGGTCATCCTTTCCACAACAAGTGTTTACTCATCCTCTTGCATTCCAGTCTAACACTGAGTTGTTGTTTTTCTGTATTATTTTAATGAGTGAATATTTATGTAGTAACTGCAGCAACTACATATATTACTATGTACTTTTGTTCTTGTTCTCCCTGAAATGTGCTCGCACTGAAGTCTTAGCAGCGTGGTATGCTTCAGTAAAGCACTCAATTATCAGCCTCATTCAGCATTGTTTTCACTATGACTCTCTATCCTTACTAAATCTTTCTATGCTCTCATTATACTTCTATCTAACTTGGAATATATGGTTAAATGTGACAAACTAAGATTCATGGTGAATTCTGGGCTGATGCTTGTCTAACTTCCTTTTCCATACCTGCAGTGTTGGAGACTCCACAGCCCACTAACTCTACTTCACAGCAATGCTTTACAGTGATCTCTAACATGGTAGTCACTTGGCACAAAACCCATAAACAGAGTAACTTCTTACCAACAGACATGTGCATTCCAGTATTTATTTCTGTTTGTCTTTGCAGGAGGCAGGTGAAATCCACTGACATCACACGCTTGTGGAGATTTAAGAAGGTGGTGACTAAGTCTGGATTTTGCTCCTGATGACAATCATCAACTGAGCTTAACTATAATACCTGTTCTGAGAAATGCACGGTTATCAAAGCCTCATAATTATGAAGAAAGATATCATACTCTTAACAGAGAAAACATAAAATATATACTAAGAAACCTGTAAATGATTTAGAACTAATATAAGTCAGTTATTCAATGCAGGCAAATTTCTAATAAAGGATAACAAAGGCATGCCTTCTATGATCATAGAATTCTAGAATCATAGAATCATTTAGGTTGGAAAAGACCTTTAAGATCATTGAGTCCAACCGTTAACCTAACACTGCCAAGTCCACCACTAAATCATGTCCCTAAGCACCACATCTACACATCTTTTAAAAAATACCTCCAGGGATGGTGACTCAACCATTTCCCTGGGCAGCCTGTTCCAATGCTTGATAACCCTTTCAGTGAAGAATTTTTTTTACCTAAACCTCCCCTGGCACAACTTGAGGCCATTTCCTCTCATTCTATCACTTGCTGCTTGGGAGAAAAGACCAACACCCACCTGGCTACGACCTCCTTTCAGGTAGTTGTAGAGAGCGATAAGGTCTCCCCTCAGCCTCCTTTTCTCCAGACTAAACAACCTCAGTTCCCTCAGATGCTCCTCATAAGACTTGTGCTCTAGACCCTTCATCAGCCTCATTGCTCTTCTTCAGATGCACTCCAGCACCTCAATATCTGTCTTGTAGTCAGAGGCCTAAAACTGAACACAGTACTCAAGATGTGGCCT